AAAGGTCCCACCTGTAAATACCACAGCTGGGTTAAGTTGCCACCCTTTTGGTACAATGAATTTATGACTCTGGGGTTTAAACTCCTGAGTTCAGAGGCCAGACCATAATAAAACCATAGCATATTTAAGAATGAAGAAGTCTGGGCTGGCGCTGTGGTGTAGCCGGTAAAGCCACCACTTTAGTGCCAGCATCCCACATGGTTGCCAGTTTGAGTCCCGGCTGCTCCATTTCTGATCCAGCTCTCTGCTATGGCCTGGGCAGCACAGGATGGCCCAAGTCCTTGGGCCCCTATACCCATGTGGGAGACCCAGAAGAAGCTCCTGGCTCCTGGATTCAGATCGGCCCAGCTCCAGCCATTGTGGCCATCGGGGGAGTGAACCACCAGATGGAGGAGCCCCCCCCCCCCCCGCCTCTCCTTCTCTGTGTAACTCTGACTTTCAAATAAATAAATAAATCTTTAAATAAAAAAAAAAGAATCAAGACTCTGACAACATATTGATGAAAATGCAAAGAAATCAGAACCTCATACACCATCACTATGGTGCACCTGTTATAGAAACACTTGGACAGTTCCTCAAACAATCAAATATGAAGTAATCATAAGCCAGCAATTGCATTCCCAGGTATATACCCAAGAGAAATGAAACCATATGTCCACACAGAAACAGGTACATGAATATTTATAACAGCATGGTTTACAATAGCAATGTGAAAATACCCAAATGTTCATAAGGGGCGAATAAAGGTTGTCTGTCATGCAGAATATTATGTGGCCGTGAAAGCTGAAGTTCTGATACACGGCACAACACCAGTGAATCTTCAAATGCAGAAGGCTACAAATCATGTGATACCACACGTATAAAGTCCAGAACTGGAAAATCTTCAGAGACAGACAAGTAGACTAGTGGCCACTCAGAGCTGGGCTCGGGATAAGAGAGGATGGGAGACAGATCCAGGGTGTGTGGGATTTATTTCTGAGGTAATGAAATATTCTAAAACTGGGTGACAGCTGCACCTATCTGAACACATCAAAAATCACCCAACTGGACATTTTAAGTGGACAAATTATATGGTATTGGAACTGCCTCTCAATGAAGCTGTTAATAATGAATATATCCAGTATTTTTGTTTGTTTCTTCTACTTAATACTATTGGTTGAATTCTGTAATTAATACAGTTACTCTTAAGTGTTGAAACTTAATTGAAAAGTGATCCCTGTTAAATATAAGAGTGAGAATAAGAGAGGGAAGAGATGTGCAATTCGGGACATGCTCAAGCTGACTTGCCCCAAACAGTAGAGTTAGAAACATACCAGGGGATTCCAATTCAACCCCATCAAGGTGGCATGTACCAATGCCATCTCACTAGTCCAAGTGATCAATTTCTGTTCACAATTGATCATAATGATAGGACTAAGAACCAAAGGGATCACATAAACAAGAATAGTGTCTGCAAATACTAACCGACAGAATAAAAAAGGGAGAAAACGATCCAACATGGGAAGTGAGATACACAGCAGACCCATAGAATGGCAGATGTCCTAAACAGCACTCTGGCCTCAGAATCAGCCCTTAAGGCATGCGGATCTGGCTGAAAAGCCCATGAGAGTATTTCAGGCATGGAAAGCCAAGACACTATGGCAAAAAAAAAAAAAAAAAAAAAAAAAAAAAAAACACCTAAATGAAAGATCTCTGCGAGTGAGATCCCAGTGGAAAGAACAGGTCATCAAAGGAGGTACCTTTCTCTGAAGGGAGGAGAGAACTTCCACTTTGACTATGACTTTGTCTAAGTGTGATCAGAGTCGGTGAACTCAAAAGGCTTCCATAGCCTTGGCAACTCATGACAAGAGCCTGGGGTGATTACTGATGCCATAAACAAGAGTGTCAATTTGTTAAGTCAACAACAAGAGTCACTGTGCACTTACTCCTCATGTAGGATCTCTGTCCTTAATGTGCTGTACATTGTGATTTAATGCTATAACGAGTACTCAAACAGTATTTTTCACTTTGTGTTTCTGTGTGGGAGCAAACTGTTGAAATCTTTACTTAATATATACTAAACTGATCTTCTGTATATAAAGAGAATTGAAAATGAATCTTGATGTGAATGGAAGGGGAGAGGGAGTGGGAAAGGGGAGGGTTGCGGGTGGTAGGGAAGTTATGGGGGGGGAAGCCATTGTAATCCATAAGCTGTACTTTGGAAATTTATATTCATTAAATAAAAGTTAAAAAAATAATGAATATATCCACCGTGATTAAGGAACTGGAATAGCTACCTTAACCAACCATAGTTAACATCAACAGGTTGGCTTCCCTTCCTATGGTCCCAATTGTTTCTGGTAACTCCTTCTAGCCTAGGTGGGCCGCAGGTGCCGTGAGCTGGAGGACACAGCCTTCCTAATCACATATTCTGAACGGTTTTATCACCCCACTGTCAACCTGTTGGATCCTCCCTCCTCAAGGTCTGTATTTTCCATGTTCTACGTTTACACCCACCTGTACCCACACACCGCACCACCCACACACCGCACTACCCGCACACCGCACCACCCACACACCGCACTACCCGCACACCGCACCACCCACACACCGCACTACAAACTGTAAAGCAGAGCTCCAAACTCATCACATGCAAAGGCCTAAAGATTCCTGTGAAAAGCCTTAGATTCTGTTCCAAATCGTAACGATCATCTCTTCTAGCTAAGTGCGATAGTGTATGCCAAAGGGCTACAATAGTTCAACTGTGTCAGTTATATTAAATTCCATACTTTATGCCTCTCCATGCCACTTGTGTCACCCAACCTTAAGAACATGTTAGGAACTTTGAAAACAACCATACATAAAACGAAGTGTTAAAAAATGTCACAATTGGGGTACAGGCGCTGTGGCCTAGCAGGTGAAGACACTGCCTGCCATGCCAGCATCCCACATAGGCGCCGGTTCACTGGGAGATCCGAAAGAAGCTGCTGGCTCCTGGCTTTGGATTGGCCATTCAGGGAGGGAACAAATGACGGAAGACCTTAGTCTCTGTCTCTCCTGCTCCCTGTCTGTAACTCTACCTCTCAAATGCTTTTAAAAAGTCACAGTTAGAGGTGATCTTAGAGAGACAGGCATTTGGCATAGTGGGTAAGACAAGGCTTGGGATATCCACATTGCATACTGGAGTGCCTGGGTTCGTGTCTTGGCTCCACTCCGATTCCAGCCTCCCGCTAATGCATACCGCAGGAGACAGCAGTTGGGTTCCTGCCACCCACTGGGAGACCTGACTTGGGTTCCCGACTTTGGGCTTCAATGTGGCCCAGCTTGAGTGGTGGTGGCATTTGGGAAGTGAACCAGTGGGCAGGAGCGCTCTGTCTCCATCCAATTAATCAATCAATCAAACTAAAGAAGAAGTGACCTGATATTCAAATCCAGTTCCATCATTTCGCAGTTGGGGAAGCTGAGATTCAGAAAGGTGAACTGACTTCTAATGGGACTCAGTGAAAGTGCTAATCCTCTCCAAGCTGGTCACTAATCAGAACTAGCAGGAAATCGGAACTCTCAATGATCACGCACAGAGAGAAAAGGGTATGCAAAGACACTATCACAGTGTCAGTCTATTAAAAACACTAAACCAAAGACACTCTATCTTCAAAAATTTGTCTTCAATGACAAACACTGGCCCACTTCTCTACTTTGGATCACGAAGGAAACAATTTTGTTGAATTGTAAATGCAACTGATTTTATGAAACCAAGTTAAATTGATAATTTCTCATTTACTTTAGATCAAAACAGCTCTAATTTATGAGTCATCACCTGTTATTAGCATGCCACATTTTTCTCACTCTGAAATGATTGCTAAACTGCAGGAAAGTCAACTCCAGCAATTCTCAAAGTTCCCCATTTGGTAATCAACAACCACAGTACAATCCATTCTAATTTTACATACCACTTCTGAATGTCATGATAGATCAGTTCCCATTAATTTTGTGGAACAAACAGGCAATTCGTGTATCCTGTTTGCAGCAAAAACGATTCCCCAAGAGCTTTCTAGGGCGGGGGGGGGGGGGCAAATTGCGGCGCCAGAGAAAAGTTTTTACACTTTAGCCAACGTCAGCTCTGTCCCTATAAAAGCAACACTTAGTCTCCGCAAAACAACAAAGCTTCGAACTGCGTAACAGGCTTCTTGACACTGAACAGAGAGACCACAGCGTAGGGGGTGTCCCAGCAAGATGGTGAACACGTAAACGACCACTCAATTCTTCATTCGCGTATGAAGTGCATTTCCTGGCTAATCCACGTAGAAATAACAAATGCACGCGTATATTCCCCAAGAGCAGGACTGGTTATTTTCATCATTCCAGGGCCAGGAAAATCCCAGAAGGTTCCACTCGCCCTAAACAGCTGACTCGTACCCCAAGCAACGCTGAGCGCCGACGAGAGCCCCTGTCTGTGTCCCGGGGGTGCTCTGTGCGGCGCCCTCCCGGCGAAGTGTCCAGAGAGGACCGGACGAGCGGGGGACGCGAGGGCCACCGCCGGCCAGGGCTCCCCCCGCGCGCGGGCTCCCCCTGCGCGCGGGCTCCCCCCTGCGCTAACGACACCCAGGTGGACCCCGCCGGCCGGCCCGGCGCCCGACGCCCACCCAGCCAGGGCTTCCCAGGGAAGCCGGAGCCGGCGCGGCAGCGGAACCCCATCGCCCTTCCTGGGGCGTAAGCGAAGCGCTGCGGCTTCCACCGCCTCCCGCGGGCGCAGGCAGGGCGAGCGGCGGCACGGTCTCCACCCACGCCGCACAGCGGCCACGACGCGGGGCTGCGCTCGTCGCGTCCCGTCCTCGGGCCCCGTGGGACCGGCCCCCCACCCTCCCCGGCGCTCCAGGTGCGGGACCCCGCGCGGGCGCCCTGGCTCCCGGGCTGGTGCAGCGCAGCCGGGGGCGGCGGGCGCCTCTTTGTTGCCCCTGCGCGCGGCCGCACGCACCCGGAGACTTCCTGACGAGGGGAAAAAAAAACCCAAGACCCCTTACCTGGGTCGTGGAAGGGCACCAGGGCGAAGTTGAAGAGTGGCCTCTTCGGTCTTTTCAGAGACGTCTCCAGGATCTTGGAGGCCCCTTCGATGACCTGGACGAGGTCGTCGTACATGGAGCCGGTCACATCGAACACAAAAGCCAAGGTGGAAGCCCCCTCGGGCACGTCCCGGGCGCCGGCAGCCGCCTCGGGGCTCGCGTCCCCGGCGAGCGCGGAGCCCAGCAGAGCGCACAGGAGCGCGGCGCGGGCCGCCTCCCTGGGGACCATCTTCCCGGCCGGCTCCGGCCGCGTCCTCTCCGCTCTGCGCGCAGCGCCCCTGCACGTCCGCGCATCCGATGCCGGCGCGCGGGGCCGGCGCGGGTGGAGCCGAGGACCCGAGGGGACGGGCGCCGCCGACGCGCCCGAGCTCCGAGCCTATGGGCGCGCGGCCCGGGCGCGGCGCGTGGCGTGGAGCGGGCGGCGCGCGGGGCCCATGCCCGGCAGCCCGAGCCTGCGGCGCCCCGGCGCGTCCCGCCTCCCGGCCGCCGAGCCCCCGCCGTCTGCCCCGCGCGCCGCGCCTCGGCGGGGAGCCGAGGGGTCAGCCCGGGGCCCGCGCGCCGTCCGCAGCCTGCGACCCCCACAGGAAACAAAGCCCCGACGCAGGGACCCCCACCCCTGCACAAAGGGAGTTTCTTTCCGGACGGGGCGCGGCCCGGCCGGCAGGGGGCGCTGCCCGGGAGGACTTGGGGAGGGGAGAGGCGCGGAGGTGCGGCCGGGCCGGGGGTCCCGCGGGGAGGACGGGGGGGGGGGGGGGCTGTGGAATTCGCCTCTGGGGGAGGAGGGCGCCTGCGCCTCCGTCGCCTCGGCCGCGGTTCGGGGCCCGGGGGCTCGTGCCCCGCCGGCCCGCCGCCGGCCCTCGTCCTCAGTGGACACTCGGCCTCCGTGGAACAAAAAGGCTTTTTCTTACCGGAAAGGTGGGAGCCTGGCGAGTTAACCGGCTTCCCCGGCGAGCGGAGACCAGGCAGTGTGGACCACTAGGGAGTGAGCGGTCTAGGCGCTAAGGAGCTATGGGTGGCCCGGGGATGGCGCCCAGGTGGGAGACCGGGTGCGACACCCGGCGAGCGGAGACCAGGCAGTGTGGACCACTAGGGAGTGAGCGGTCTAGGCGCTAAGGATCTACGGGTGGTCCGGGGTCGGGTGCTCCGGGCGCGCCCAGGAAGCCGGGGATGGCGCCCAGGTGGGAGCCCGGGTGCGACACCCGGCAGGTTAACCGGCTTCCCCGGCAGGCGGAGACCAGGCAGTGTGGACCACTAGGGAGTGAGCGGTCTAGGCTCTAAGGATCTATGGGTGGCCCGGGGTCGGGTGCTCCGGGCGCGCCCAGGAAGCCGGGGATGGCGCCCAGGTGGGAGCCCCGGTGCGACACCCGGCAGGTTAACCGGCTTCCCCGGCAGGCGGAGACCAGGCAGTGTGGACCACTGAGGAGTGAGCGGTCTAGGATCCAGGAGCTGAGGACGGTCTGGGGGCGGAGTCCTAAGTCCGAGTTCTGACAGTGTCCGTCAGTCAGGAGGGTGCTGAGATCTGCTACAGGGCATTTGCCTGTCCTTGTCTCCAGTGGCGTGAGTTTGCCTGGAACTCGGCAGTTAGGACGATCGCTCTCCTGATTAACAGACCCCGTGGTCATGCTGAAGTCCGCTCCTTATCCTGGGTGGTGTCTTTGTTTTGAAGTATACAGACACCAGTATAGTCATCTTAGCTTTCTTTTGATTGGTGTCACTCTATCTTTCCCTTTTAATCTGCCAGGATCTTTGTCTGTAAAGTGTGTTTTTGTAGTGACCATACAATTGAGTCCTTTTTTTTATATCCAACTCAACAATCTCTGCCTTTTTATTAATGTGTTTAGGCCATTTATACTCAGTGTCATCATGGGTAGGTTTGATTTGAATCTGTCATCTTGATATTTGTTTTCCATTTATCCTAGCTTTTCTTTGTTCCCTTTTTCCTGTTTTTCTGCCTTCTTTTGGATTACTTACTTATAGCTCTGTTGCCAGCTTTTTATTGTTAACTATTTCACATTAGTGATTGCTTTCAGGTTTATGGTATACATCTTTAATTTATCAGTTTTCCCTCAAGTAATATCAAACTACTTCATGCATAATAAACCTAAACTAGTAGACTTCCATTTATCCCCTCGACCTTTTTTTTACTATTGTCATCATTTCATTACTTCACATTACTGTACTTCAAACCCCATACTACATTAATGCTACTTTTTTGTATAAGTAGCCAGTTATCTTTCAAGGGAGACTAAATAATAATAATAAAAAAACATTAACCCATGTGTTGTTCATTCCTTTGTGCAGATAGGATTTCCATTTTGTGTGATATTCCTTTCCCTGAAGGAATTACTTTAATATTTCCTGTTGTGAAGCTCTGCTGGGGACAAACCCTTATACTTTTGTACATTTAAGTAAGTTTTTATTTCACATTTTTTAGTAATTATATAATTCTAAATTGATTTTTTTATCATTTCCTCAGTTCATTTTTCACTGTCCTTTTTGTTTCCAATGAGGAATATCCATCATCTTTATATTCCTATATGTAAACCATGTGTTTTCCTTGATGCATTTAAGAATTCTCTTACTGTTTTTGAGCAGTTTGGTTATCATTTGTTTTGGTGTGGTTTCCCTATTTCTTGTTCTTAGGGGGTGTTGAGCTTCTGCCATCTCTCAGTCAAATTTGGAAAATTGGATTCGGCATTGTAGCCTAGCCAGTGAAGCCTCAACCTGCAACATAGGCACCCCATATGGGCACCAGTTCTGGTCTCAGCTGCTCCAGTTCTGATGCAGCTCCCTGCCATCTGCAACAGCAGATGGCCCAAGTGCTTGGGGCCCTGCCACCCACAAGGGAGACCCAGAAGTAGCTCCTGGTTCCTGGCTTCAGTGTGGCCCAGCCCTGGCCATTGCAGCCATTTGGAGAGTAAACCAGTAGATGGAAGATCTCTGTCTCTCCCTCCCTCTAACTCTGCCTTTTTTTCCCTTAAGATTATTTATTAGAGAGGTAGAATTACAGAGAGAGAAAGGGAGAGACAGAGAGATCTTCCATTTGCTGGTTCACTCCCTAAATGGCTGCAGCGTCTGGAGCTGGGCTGATCCAAAGCCAGGAGCTTCTTCAAGGTCTCCCACACAGGTGCAGGGGCCCAAGCACTTATGCCATTTTCCACTGCTTTCCCTGGCCAGAGCAGAGAGCTGGATCAGAAGAGATGCAGCCAGAACTTGAACTGGCTCCCATATGGTGTGCCAGTGCTACAGGTGGTGGCTTTTACCTGCTGTGCCACAGCGCTGGTCCCTCTAACTCTGCCTTTCAAATAAATAAATCTTTTTTAAAAATGGAAAATTTTGGCACATATTTCAAGATGTCTTTGTCTCCTATCTCCTTTCCTTTGGGAACCCCAATTCACACATAAAATGCCACTTAAAGTTGTTCTGTAGCTCACTAATGTTCTGTTCATATTTTAAAAATTATTGCTTTCTTGCCTGTGTTTCATTTGCAATTTCCATAGCTGTTTTTTCAAATTCATTAACTATTTTTCTCTGCTGTCTAATCTACCACTTGTCCTATTAAGTATATTTTTCACCTCAGACATTGTAGTTTTATGTCTAGAAGTTTGACTTGGATTCTTCTATAGCTTCCATGTCTCAACTTAAGTATATGAGTAGATGAAATACAGTTATAAAAAATGTTTGTATTCGCATAGTCAGGCAATTATTATGTCAGTTTCCCCCTAATTATTATATTTTCTTCTTTCCAGGTCTCATAATCTTTGAATATCAGACATTGAAGACTTTTCCTTGTTGGATACTAATATACAACTATATATATTCTTGAACTTTGTTCTGGGACAGTTATTTGGAAACAGTTTGAGTCTTTTGGGACTTGCTTTTAAAATCTGTTAGGGGAGACCAAAGCAATAGTCAGTCTAGGGCCAATTATTGCCCGCTACTGAGGAAAGACCCTTTCGTGTCTCCCTCACAGGCATGCTCTCTGACTCATGGCATTGTCCAGTCTTGCTGGTCCGGGCAGACAGTATATTTTCATTTTTGTGTGAGAGCGAGTAGTTACCTTGAATCCTTTCCAGAAATTCTTTCCTGGACCTTTGTTTCCCAACACGCCTGTTGCTGATCAGTTCTCAGCTGAATACTGAAAGGGAACCCCCTTCAGCTCCCTGGAGTTCTCCATATTCATAGCTCCTCCCGGAATTCTCTCCTACAAACTCTAGCTGTCTTTCAGGTTGTTTTGTTTTGTTTTAAGATGTATTTTCATTTGAAAGAGTTAGAGCTTCCACCTGCTGGTTCACTCCCCAAATGGCTGCAACAGCCAGGGTTGTGCCAGGCCAAAGCTAGGAGCTTCCTCTTGGTCTCCCACGTGGGTGCAGGGCCCCAAACACTCTCACCATCTTCTGCTTTCCCAGGCACATCAGCAGGGAGCCAGATCAGAGGTAGAGTAGCCGGAACAAAAACTAACACCCATCTCCGGTGCGAGCCTTGCAGGTAGCAGCTTTACCTACTTTGCCGCAATTCTGGCCCCTGGACTTTGTTTCATCTCCTCTCACAGGCAGTCTGCTGAACAGCAGGGTTCCACCTTCACTCATCTTTGGAAACCTAGCAACTCTAAGGTGGTAAACTAAAACAGGTGTAGGCCTCACCTTGTTTGTTTCCCAGCTCTCTGGGATGGCTGTCCTTCCTGCCTTAGGATAAAGTGACATAATGCTTGTAATGCAGTCAGCCCAATGCTTGGCAATTAAATCAGTGCTCAATAAAAAGTATTATTGCCATTATATGTATTTTGAGATACAGCTTTGAAAGTTTGAACTCCTGTGTATGCACTGGAAGCATAATGCATGGGATGAAACAGATAACTAGAAAGGCTGCTTATCCATCTGCGTATAGTGGTTCTTTTGTAGCCTCACTACCTGAAGTGAGTAATGAGTAAGGTGTTTAAGGTACCCAGTGACCTGCAGCTGGGAAAAAGGGCGACAAATAGAAGGAATACTGAATACCTAAATGGCATTTTTACCCACATAAGTGTATGTGTGTATATATATGAACAGAAAGGACTTCAAAAAGTAAATGAAATTAAGTTGAAGGATTAAAACTGTGAAAAAGATTAAAACTTTTGAAAACTGCAGTTTTTTCATATTTTTCATGAACCCTTTGATCCATTGTATTCATGATTTCCAATTTTTCTCACACAAATAAATGTCATTTTTATTTTCCACAAACTTTATGAAGACCCTCACACACATGTGTCTTTCCAATCCCAAATACACGTCTCCATTTTAGTCTCATGTAGCTGATGACTGTATGGCTTGAGACATGGGAGAGGCCTACGTGAGTTCTCATTCTTTTTCAGTAAAGTTTCCTATCTGCTGAAGTGCAGACCTCCAGAGACACGGTAGCCTCCTGAACAGAAAGAT